TGGCGTCTCCAGGCACGAGCACTTGGTATTTACAGTGGTACTGCATTTAGTTCCGAGGTTTTCCCACCCACAACAATCCTAATGCCAGCCCCCCCCCCCCCCCCCCCCAAAAAAAAAAAATAGAATTGAGCGATTTCGAATTTTATTTTATGTGCTCTAATTTAATTCAAGTGGTCATTAGTTGAAATCAAGCACTAATAATGTAATCCAAGTAATAACCGATTTAATTCCAACGCCATGCATTTTGACCGAAGAGCAACTTACTTTAATTCGCTTATATATGTGATTTAACGAAGACTGCTGCTCATCTGCCAGCACAGTTTAAGAAGCCTGAGGTGCTTGCAAGTAATGAATGATTTCCAATGCAAATGCCTGCTTCATGATTGCTTTCTCATTTCCTAATACCATGCTTCGCGGTATGCTCGCGCTATGCCATGATTTCATGATCGGGCGTTGACTACTCTAAATCGCCTGCAAAAACTTGGCCGTATGCTTGCGTCGTGGCGCGGTTCAAGACATCGCATGTCGACTATCCTTCGACTAAACGTCGTTTGGCGAGCTGATTGCCAACCGAGTTGTCGTGCCTTTGGGTCCACCCTAACAGAGAGTCAAAACATCCGCAGCTCTAAACTGAGCCGTGGCACAGCGTAAAGGTTACTTGGGGCCGGTAGTGAACGGGTTGTCTCTTGGGTTAAAGCTCATTGATAGGCCGATGAGGAGTTTGGGCGTCTCTGAAAGGCACTGCAGTAGGGTGAATACTTGGGCGAGTTACTTTTGCATATTGGCGATAACAATCAGCGCGAACGAGGCGAACGACAAGAGGAGACGTAGAAACATCTGCGCTCTCTCTGTCTACGCCTCCTCTTGTCCTTCGTCTCGTTCGCTCTTTTAATCATCAAGTCTTTGAAAGGAGCGAGGACCGTGTCGGAACACCCGTCCTTGAGCAGTGGTGTAGCCATGGGAAAGGCTTATGGGGCTTCACCACCCTCCTCACCCTAAATTAATCAAGCCGACTTTATAGGCTTGTAGCCTTCAAGTACAAGGTGTCACGAAAGAAAATTTACACGTTCTTTTTTACCGCAAAAATAAACTAGCCACCGGCGAACGCTCCTTCTCCGAATAAAAGTAGAGCTAGAAGTCACAAGCAGACAGAGCAACCAGATCCCAATGTTTCAGCCCGATCCGATAACTTAATCAAAAGTTATAAGTGATTTTCTGAAAATTTCAATGGGGAAATGGAGCCCATTTTTGCCCGTTCTTGGTTTCTGGTGGCCCCATGTGTTTGAAAACTCCGTCGGCCGCGATTTTCTCATTGAAATTTTCCGAAGTTATAACTTTTGATGAAGTTATCGGATCGGGCTGAAACTTTGGCATCTGGTTGTGTCCTCCAGTGCTACATTTGGGCGGAGAATGAGCGTTCTGCGATGCCTAGTTTATTTTTTGCCGTAAAAAAGACCGTGTAAATTATCTTTTGTTACACCCTGTATTTAGTAGCGCTACTGGCAAGCACAAGATAATATTTTTAGGTCTGGTTTGCTTTGTATGCCATCATGCTCCTGTGAGTAGATCACGGACGCTAAAAAAATGAAAACAAATGAGCGGAAAGGAATGCACGCTTAACGTTTCCGCAGAACGCTGAGGACGCCACTTGTACATTTTTGTTTATTTACTCTTTTTCCAGTCACTCTTAGCACGCCTAGTCAGACGCTGACAGATACTTGCATTGGATTCTACATCATGCATTAACTGATGCTACAGCGCCAGCTTTCTGGTCACGTCTCTGATGCGCTACCATCCTCAAGACGCACTTGCGCCATCTGACCGAAAGAAACAGGCCTACAATAGCTTCGTTTGGTTGACCTGCACCTCCTGCACTGGGGCAGAAAAGCGTACGGCAGTGTAGCTCCGGTGTGTGCATTCACACACGACCGGAAGTACACCACCCCACGCTTTTGTGAAACGGTGCAGGAGCTGCAGGCAAATCGAACGAAGCGAATATAGACATGCATCTTAAACCCCCCCCCCCCCCCCCCCCCCCCCCGCCCTCGCACCAAAAGCTATGGACGTCCCAACCACTTCACTCCACTCCACTCCTCCCCTCCCTAGCGAAAACGTTCCTTGCTAAGTTACTGCGCTCGGGGCCCCTGCTGTTAGGTTAGGTTAGGTTAGGTTAGGTTAGGTTAGGATTGGAGAGGGGGGGAGGGGTGAGAGGCGTCAAAGTTCTAAATGGAGCTACAAATTGTTGTGGAGGCTCCGAAAAACGTATTGGCGGGGCCGCTGAACTTGTTGTATCCAGCATGTGGGTGTTAGTGAGCGTAAGATGGCAAAAAAGACAATTCTTCGGAGCCCAAGGGCAGCTGTTGTTCTGCAGAGCGAGCGCGCGAGTTCGCTCTGCAGATGAGATGTGCATATGCACAGTGCGGTCTCATACAAGTGGTGGATTGAATGCATACTACGTTGCAAAAACAGCGGCTGAAGACTTGAAGCCGCTCCGGCTTCAAGTCTTCAGCCGCTGTATGGTTGGTTGGGACGTCCATAGCAACGCCGTACTCAATGCGTTCTCAAACGAGCGGCACACGAGCTGGTTCGACTCGCTTCAGTGGCGTGATGTTGGGGCTGTCGTCCTCCGCAAGCAGCATGCTGCGGTTCGCGTAGTGATGTGCTCTCGTGGTTTAATAAAGTTTGATATAAATGAAGACTTTTTGGCGCGCTTTGGCTGCTTTATAGTCATGGAGAAAATGGACACTCATTAATTAAATAACCAATTTGTGTTTCTACGGCACAGTTCCTGTTTGTGAACTAAAACAATACATTGGGTGTAATGCCGAAAAACGGGACATGTTCTGTTCAGCTTTTCTTCGTTGTTTTATGGTACAGTTCCTGTTTGTGAACGAATACAGTACAATGGATGTAATGCTAAAAGACGGGACATGTGTTATTTGTTTTTATTCGTAGATTTGTTTTTTTAACAGCGTTCTGTCTACAGCTGTGTGCGCCCATGTTTAAGTATACGTTGGATTTTGTTGCCTTTCTGACTGTAAGACTCAATAGATAAAATAAAATACGAACGGCCTTTTAAAGAACGTAGATTTTGGTTTATAGTTAAGTCGTTTGGGCGTTTACGGTTGAAGGCTGTGGGGGTCGCAAGAGCTGAAGGGTCTGAAGGTTCTGAAGAGTTGAAAAGCCAAACTGGTTTGAGGTGCCGAGGGGTGTCTCGGGCTCAAGGGGTTTGAAGGGCTGAAGGGTTATTTTCAATACGGAGTTTGTTTCCTTGTTTTATGTTTCTCCTTGGCTTTTCCACGGGTTGGCGATATCGTGTGATGGTAGAGAACGGTAAAGGCCCTCACTCCCACCGGCTTATTAAGCTTGTTTACACGCCAGCTAATGTCGTATTATTTCTTAATTGATTGGAAAGCAAAAAAATACTGGGGAAAAAGGGCGGTGAGGCCCGCCATCTAAATACATTCCTAAGTCTTGTTTACAGGTGATTTTGCGCATTTCACACCTACAGCCGAGGTGCCTTGTTCCAAAAAATACTTCGGTAGGAACTCAGGAGGGACTGAATTGCACAGGCCAGCATGCAGACAGACGGTACCAAGATCTTCTGCAAAAAGTAGAGTTCGACGTGTATAAATCGCGATGCAGTTCAGTCAGCCTGGAGCTTCGAAGCGGTGAATGTTCGTGCAAGAGGGCCTGGGACGCAGAAGGGATGAATGGAGATATTAAACATGGGAAGGAAAGAGTGGGATAGGGAAAGGGAATTGTATGTCGCGTGACGTATATTACCCAGCTAAATTTAGCGGAAAATCCAAATTGTTGTATAGGTCACATGGTATCAGCTCACGTAACATCAATTACTGCCGTTAAATCTAGCGGGGAAACTGCAATGGTCTATAGGTCCCCCCCCCCCATGTTATGTGAACTTCCCCACTAAATATAGTTGAAACATCACATAGGTCATGTGATGCTGATTTTCCCGCTAAATTTAGAGGGGAATTTGAATGTAGGATTAGGTCACAAGACGTGTATTTTTTACACATATATGTAATGTGACACCAAATTTCCCCTTTTGGTGTCTAGGTCGGGTGACGGTTCGTCCCGTGGTGTCTATTTCCCCCCTAAAGTATGCGGACAATGCACGGACAGACTTACAAAAGTTTGGGATTGGGGGTGCCGTTTTAATAATTAAAAATGTATTACTGATGTTGACAATGACCCAATTAAATTCAACGCGAATAATTTTTCTTATTGTGCCCTTCGGCATAAACTACTACAGGATATACGTCTTTTCCTGTGCGGTAAGTAGTTCTCGCAGAAGTGATTTGTAATCATTGAGCGCACGACGCTCAATTATATTTTTGTCAAAATAGTGGGAGGTGTACATAAATTGCGACTAGCGCTGTACCATCATAAGCAGAGAGCAATTTTAATGACGGATTACAGAACAGAATTTAGAGAGAAGCAGAAGCAGACCAAGAGATACCGCCAAGCCAGAAGCGTTTGCTGACCAGTCGCTCGACATTGTAATTCAAATTTATCGGTTGGTCTCCAGGTAACTAACTGAAATTGTCCTGGCAACGTTATCTTCATTCACCAATGCATTTAAAGAAAAAGCTTGTCCATCAGTCCTTTCCTAACGAAGGAGGAGGCAAACACCAAAGTTGTAATCCTCTAGCAGCGTGAGTCCCAAGTTTACCGGCTCACATGCGGGTCGTTGTACAAGCTGCGTTTTTTTTATTTTTTAATATATATATTTATTTCGTTCACAGAGACATAGGGGAACAGCTTTCGGAGTAATGTTACCAATATGAATAATATGCCTGGTGGCTGTTATTTAATATATATGTTGTTTTTATTGCGACCGGAAACGCACGACAAAAAACTCCAGGTGCGCATCAAACAAAATTAAATTACAAGTTCCCTTTAGACATTAGCTATAAAAAGAACACCACCGCCGCCCCATGGCGTTATACACTTCGCAGCGTTTTAAGGGGTACACGATGTCGCCTGTCTTTACTTTGACCGCCCTCCAGATTCTTCTGGGATGTAGCGCAACGCCGAATTATCCGGAGCTTGATCCTAAGCTCCAAATTTACCAAGACGCATCAAAGGTATGTGGAGGTACACGCAGTTTCTCGCTGGTTAATAGGAAATTAATTGAAGTGAATAGTCAATAAAATATTTGTAAAGAAACTTACTTCGCCCATGAGCACATAGTTACTTGTTGCACTAAGCGCATTCCAAATGCAAAAGTAAACGGTCAGCTAGAACAGTAGGGACAAAACACAGGCATGGAGAAACAGAGACATGCACACCTCTGACTATCAACTGTCTGTGTTTTGTCCTTATCGTTCTAGCTTACCGTTTACTTTTGCATTATGTACCAACTCGGTCAACTTCAGCCTGTTATTTTGTATTCCTAAATTGACGCTGTAAACTGAGTTGAAGTCACCTTTATCAAAGAAAAGTTCTAGCAGTTAATGTGTTTAGGGTGCAGTAAGATGACTAAGATCTTGACAACTTGAAGTATTTTCCTGTAAGAAATATGAAGCACTTGATTTTACTACCACCTGCTTTATTTTAAAACATCTGTGAAAGGTAGGTTAATGCTGTTTGTGCAGGTAAGTTATGTTGCCAGGGGGACATAATATAGATGGCTAACCCTCGCGATTACTGGGATAATTAACTAAAATATTCAATTAACTTCTATATCAGTTGAAATAAACATAAGGTTACAATTAGAAACTTGCGGAGCGTATTCTAGAACCACCAAATTAATCAATGCTAGAACAATTTGAGGCACGTGAAATTGCAGGGGGGGGGGGGGGGGTGACACCAAACAGGGCGCGATGCCAGTGGCAGAAAGACTTGGAGGATAATCTGATAATCCATGTTTTCCCAGCGCCAGCTTGACGCCTGTTGCGCGCAAAGTGACTACGGTGCACCCACGCGCTTCCCACGTACTTCAAGTTGTTCGAATCTTTATTTAGGGTTTTTAGATGACGCTCAGCATGTTTTTAATAAGAGGTATATGTTTATTTCCACCAATTTAGAATTTAATTAAGAACATCTAGATATGAGTTCGGCTTATCTATCGAAAGCATTGGCCCTGTGTACTATGCCAACCTTGTCGTATAACTCACCTGCATAAACCGCATTGATGAAACTTTCAGGGAGTGTTTTCTTGTAGTAATAACTCTGCTCGGATTAAAAATCAAACACCCTGTACATTAACGTGTATTCGGCGAAAGCTTTTCTGATCTTGACATGTACCGCCTCTTTTCTAAGTTTTATACAACCAATACAGTGTAATATTGTGTCCTAACGAGCCTACAGCAGGAAGGTTATTTCTTCCGAGTACTGAACCAAGGTTTTGTTATTGAAACGGCCACCTACGCGTACAGGCGTTCCCGCTAGCTCAGACCTGGTACGTGTTGTACAGAAACTATGAGAAGGACCCGGCATTTGGAACATCCAAGTGTTTAAAGCACAATTATTTGAAGTCGGAAAAGGATGGACAATATCGAACCTTCGCTCAGTACGGAGAAAACAATTCAGCGTAAGTCAATCCTGTGTTGCGTTGATCTCTCTAACACGCGAATAACTAGCACAGTGTGAGTGGCACGCTCCTTGCGGCTAAATAGCTTTTTTTGCGACAAAGAAATACATTTAGTTTGCCGTGGAGGCAAGTAAGAGGTAACGTGATTCATTTACTTTCTGTCTGTGTAACGAGTTACGGTTCCTCGTTTTATTTTTCGGAGAATCTACACAACACCAACTTCGTCTTTGCCCCAACGCACCCTGTGGCTTATAATCTTCAAGTGAGCAGTTTGCAGAGGAGCGAACAAAGTATAGCCATTTTATTGTTCAAGTCATCGGAATTCCCAATTCATATGAATAATGTCCCTTCGCCGGAGACCAGAAGAAGAAAATAAGGGTGTCATCCAACGTTACTAAAACACTCAGTTGGGAAACTCGCCGTCGAAACCTGGGCCGCTGGCGTCCACCGAGACCGAGCTAAATGCGACAACAGCGCCATCTTTATCATTTGTCTGTACTGTGGTCACCTCGAGCTTTTTGAAAGCCTGTTTTTGCGTAAAAACACACGAAAAAGACTCTTTTTGTATGAAATTTATTGGAGATTAGTACAAAAAGAGGGGCGCGTTATGTTTTTAAAATCCTTAGTTTGCAGGGTTTTGCGGCACAATTAATATTGTTTTTATACAACCATGCCTCAGCGGGCCTTTCAGGTAGCGCGTCCCGCCCTAGGTGCATTTTAACTTCACTAGTTGAACGCGGCGCGTCCGCCGGGGAGACGGGGGTGGCACGCCTGTAACCTCCACTGCCTCTACCGCCATATCTGTTCTAAAAGCCAAAATAGAAGTCACGTGCAGTTTCTCAAGTGGCCGCTGCGGGAGAAATGGTGGCGTCGTGTTCGTCATTAGCTCGGTGCTCGGAGACAGATTGGGGCCACTTTTTCAAAGCTGTCTCTATGGGAGTTTCCCAACTGAGTGTTTTAGTAACGTTGGTGTCGTCGATGTTGTGTGTTCTTTTAAAGGATTTGGGTATAGTTGTTTTTTTATCAAGATTCACTCTAGCATAGTAAGGGGATTCCGCACTCAAAAATGAGAATTGCTACCATCTTCTGAACAAGATCAAATCCAATCCCCACAATACAGAGGGGAAAGAGGGGGGGGGGGGGGATTGACACACGCCAAGGATACCCTGTCTTTCCGAATTTCTCGCGCATCGCGAGAGCAATGGAAGTTATATTTTGGGTGTTTAGCTCTCACGATATTTTTCAAAAATAGTATGCGCACCCAAAACGCAATCACTAAGCATAGTCGAAATGGCGACGACGCTCATGCTTGGGTGGGAAAAGCGATTCCGTACAATATCCTTTATATTACTATTCTGTTTCTAAAAAAATGAAATTAAATGCTTGTAACGAGTAAGGAATTTTTCAACTAAAACGTCAACTGATACGAAGCAACTGACTAGTTAATGAAAGTTCTATTTTGGGATCATAAAACAATACTGAAATTTAGCTGACGTCAGCATTACGCAATTAACGAACTACAACTTTTGTCAGGAATGTAAAGTCAACAATTACCACCAAGTCATTATTATGAATGAATATTAAAATATTTCATTGAGCCGCTGAATAAAATAAATATGCTGACTGAAATGTAAAAAAAAGTATATAAATATAATTAGGACACTGTAATGAATATGCACCTTGCCATATCCAAATTGAAAGGCGAAAGACGTTATATTTAATGGGAAAACGCTGACGTTTGTAAAAACTACAACTTTCGTGTTTCACTCTACGGATGATTATCATTTCATAATTTCATTCATGTTTTAATATATCTGGCTTTTCTTTAGTAAGGAGCGGGTGACGCTAGGGTCCACTGAAGGATATACTGCCAAGAATGTGGTAAACATTCATCCCGACGGCCGTGAGTATTCGCCGATTATGAACCTCTAGATAGTTTTTGAGTAAAACCAAGTATAACAGAGTTATTTTAATGTGTCTGCGAGGTTCGGTTAGCGCCGTTGTCTACGCCACTGAAAGTTGAAACTTGAACCACAAAACAACCAAGGTGCTTCTGTGTATGCCTATAATATAGTCGACTGCAAGCAAGGCCACTGGCCACCGCCATCGCTCGGCGCGTCCGGACAAGCCCGTGCAATTTCATGCTTGCCAAAGCTATGTTTAGGAGCAAGCTGCGCGTGCTTGCACTCATGGGGCACCAGTCTGGGCGCCGTGCTTGCAATTGTCTCTGTTCGGATTCTCTTTACTTTACATGTAAGCTTAATAGGTTCTTGTAAAAAAAGTGTTTGAGATGAATTCTAGAGTATTTTTATCCCGTGAATCTGGATATCAGGTTTGTTTTTTACCAAGATATAACTAAACGCGAGAATGCACGAAAAACCTCCGACAAGTTGCTGCCTCATACCGAGATCTTTCGGCCGCTAAGCGCGGGTCGCTCGTATGGTCAACGCGTGAAATTGCAAGCTTACCAGGCATATTCCTCCGCACAGACACCAGTCGTCACTTCTTCTGACCTTTTTTGAACATAGCAAAAGGATTTGGACATAGATTTTATAGGCACTGCAGATGCGAGAGAGTGGACATTCCGAAAACTGTGGTAATGAAGTAGCGGTCTTCGGAAGGAGCGTGACGTCAGCGGTACTCTGAAAACGATTTGCTGCAACCTCCGTGCACCAAATTGACAAATGAAGACGATTTGAGTGTTTCTATTCAAATTCAAGACCGCTTCGGTTTTTCTCTCAAGTCCAAGAACAGCCGACGCTTTGATCCGCTGGAGCCAAGGAAGAAGCGGCAAAAGGACATCGTTGCGTTTTTTTTGGTCTGTGTGATTGGTTTGGCTTGTGATAGCGACCCTATAAAGACAACGAAAGCTGTGGTTATGCACTTTTCGCTCATCTTGATTCGCTCCCTTGAACTGCAGCGTCGGCTGCGATAGTACTTAAAGTTAATCGTGGGATCGAGTGTACACAGCTCAAAACTGCAACCTCCAATAAGCGATTGTCGTTTTCTTTTTTCTTTTTTTCTTCTTCTTGGAATGGGAACGTTGTTGCTGATTTTTTTGGGGTGGAATATTTTCGTTGGGTGCACTCACATGAGGGTTAGAGTATGGTGCCTGCCACATAAAATTAAAAAAAAAAACAAAACGCCGATTACATTTTTGCTTTAAGAGGGTCGCGCAATGTACCCTCACTAAAAGTAGGTCAACCGAAATGAGTCCTTTTGAGCATGTTATTTAAGGAACAGAAAAAATGAAAAGTGTCTCGTGCATCGGGAAGGGCATCAGAGCAAGCACACGAAATTGCTTGCTCTGATTGGAGGATAGAAAGAGCACAGTGACTGTCAACCTTTTAACCTTTAACAGCATTACTGGGGATCGGGTTTAATGTGGTTGCTGTCTGCTTTAATTTGCTATACAATACTAGCGTTAGCTGAACATCTAACATGCATTAAAATAAGTGATTTTCTTCAGGCCTATCTGAATTATGCTTACATTTAGTAGAAAATCTGCCATAGAAGATGCATTTTATTTCTGAGTAAGTGTTTTGCTTTGGGCTCGCCTAATATACAGGCTTTTTTTGGTTTAATCTTTTCAGATATGTTTAGAAAAAGCCGTGGAAGCTACATTTATGCGGTTTGTGAAGCTGAGCTATACGGCCAGGGGGACATAGTACATGCGACTAATCGTAACGATCAGTCGGCTAATTAAGTAATTTTTAATTAACATTTAAATTAGTAATATTAGACATATGGTTCCAGTTAGAAACTTGCTGACCGTCATCCGAAACCAATAAAATAATAGATTTGATATACAGCTTGAGCGCGTGGGAAGCGCAGTAGTGCGCTATGTCTACCACTGGTGCAACAGTTACCAAGTTGGGGCTATGATAAAAGACAGAGAAATCACTCGGGCGCCTTGTCGCACCGGTCGCCTTGCTTATCCTACACCTGTGGTAACTTAAGAGCACAGCTGTGCCTTTCACGCTCTAAATGCCTGCCTGAAAACTGATTTTCTGTTTTTTGATGACGCTCAGCAAAGTTCTAATTAAACATTTATGATCATTTTTACTCATTAAAAGTTAACCAACAAGTTTTATTTAAGTAGCCGACTGATCATTGCGATTAGCACCCATCCTATGTCCCCGTGGCCGTATAACCCGTCTGCAAAACAGCATAAGTTTAGCTTTCATGGCTTTGTTGGAAACAATACTTTGAGCTAAAAAAAGAAAACAAAAACAATTTATATGGTGAATATAAAATAAGCTCTTCTCAACCCGTATATTGCAGAAAATATCACGCTTCCTGTGTACATCTCTTTTCTGGATGTGAAAACATGCGCAGTCACCAGGAACATCTACGTCAATGGTACGACAACTTTTTAATGTAGGGGTTTGATTTCAGTATCTGCGCTGCATGGAACATGCGAATCAATCTTTGTGTACAGGATTATATCTTAATTCCAACCTATTCCTTTAAAATATACCGTGAAAAGTACACTACTTCGGTGATGAAAATAATCCCTGGAGAAGGGGAACAAGGGGGACAAAGGACAAACATAAATCTCCAAACACAGCTAGGTGACTGGTGCGCGACCGAAAAAATCCGCCTGGTCCGGGTATCGAACCCGGGACCTCTCCATAACAGGTGGAGCGCTCTACCAACTGAGCTTAGCAGGGGTTAGACGTCAGTAGAGCAAACGGGTTTTATCAGCCGCCACCAGTCGTACACCAACAAGGGTGAAGCACCTAGCTGTGTTTGGAGATTTATGTTTGTCCTTTGTCCCCCTTGTTCCCCTTCTCCAGGGATTATTTTCATCATTACTGTCCAGCTCGCTTGCACCTTTGCATTTAATTGCATTATAATCATAACTACTTCGGTATCTGCACGTGAGTAATTTGGCTAGGGGGTCATTTTACGCGGGGGGGGGGGGGGGGGGAGATTCCATGTGTAATATTCATAGTGATAATTAGAAATCGTTTGTAAATTAACAATTTAAATAAATGCAAATGACCTTATCGTTCTAATTAAAGCTTGGTGAGCGTCATCGCAAACCAATAAATCAGCAAACTTAAGAAAGAAGCGCGGAGGTGCGTTCAAGTTACAACTCTTGCGACAGGCGCAAGGCTCGCGGTGCAAAAACGCGGAGGATAATATTTTATCAGTGTGGTTTGCACCACTAGCCTTTTGTACGTTGCACGACATGTAATTAGTTAGGCACACATCCGCGCGTCTTATTTCCACCAAACCATTAGAACGTTTTGTTTACTGGTTTTGATGAGGCGCAGCAAGTTTGTGCTTGTAACCATTGGTTTATTTTTATTATTTATTTTATTGAACAAATCTTGGGTAATTATGAAACTTGTAATGATCAGCCCTTAGATTCTGTACCCCTGACCGTATGATTCACCTAGACAAACCTGCTTGTGTATCTTTTTTGACTACTTTTAATAAATAAGTTCAAAATAAAATTACACGCTCTGTATCTAAGCCTTCATGTGAGACGAGTTAGTGTGCAGGCCAGCTGAGTGAATTTGTCATACTGAACGTCCCGAGCCACTTGACGACAGAAAAAACGTACACAGCATCACGCAAAACGGGTTTGTGTTTTTGAATCAATAATTTATATGCATTCTAAAAGGCGTGCGCAAAACAAGTGCCGCCGCGGCATTGTTCCTAAGGGACCACACCGCGGCGCCACTTGGACGACTCGACATACAGCAAGAGTATTTAGTAGGCAGAAAGCGAAACTTTGAAAAATCTGTTACCTGAAATACTGCGTTGGTAATTGAGCAAATCAGTACAAAAATATCCCTACAGTGACGAATTTTTTTTATCGTTTTAGTCACTTCAATTGCGTTAATAAAAACAAGTAGCCGTACAAATTAATTAGTTTTCGCAATCCCGGCATAGGCCGGATCGGCTGTAGTAAGCTCTTTAAACAAATGTCAGCTAAGCTGAGCACCGTGCAACACACCACGCTTCGTGATACAGTCTGTGCGTAACCTTCTACACTATGGACGACAATGGAAAGCACACAACCACTTCATGCGCTTTTGAAAGCCACGGGAACAGCCGCGACCTTCTCTTCGCTGCTATGCACCCTCATTCCACTATGAAGTGAAACGCTACTCGATAAAAAGTGGCGAGGACTACTTCTCATGTCAATTTCATACACTCCTGTGACTGTTGAACGTTGTCCATTAGTAATTTACAAATTTCAGTAGAAATGAAATTGCTTTAATTGAATGATGGCAATTTTCGCAATTTTGAAACAATTTTGAATTTAAATTTATGAATCCTACTAAAACGAATATTGCTTTTATGATTGAGTAACGCTGGCTTAGTTTTACAAAAGCATTGAGACACATAAAGACGCTAAGCACCTGACTCCCTGCCTTCCCTACCGAAAAATCCAATATAACTTTTCGCTATCTGGAATATGGAACTGGAAATCTATCTACATTGTGTCTGGATTTTAGGTTTTTATAAATCATTTCTTTGTCTGCAATTTGAATTTCGAGTTTCCAGAAGCAGATTTCCAGTTCCTTAATCCGGATAGGGAAAAGTTATACTGTGTTTTTCGGTAGGGTTTTTGCCAACTCGTGTGAATTACAAAGCATAAGCCATAACCGTTTGCGCACAGCTGACCAACATTAAGAGCCACATTACGCACAGGGGAACATAAAAGGTGCCGCGTAGAAGTGCAAAGTCCTTTATTCTTAGGATGAAGAGGAATGGCACACATAATAATTTCGTTGTTTCGATTGAATATTTTACAGGGACGTATGTCTCACTTTGGGTATAACTTGTATTTCACTATTTCAGCGCTGACAATCATTGTTGCATTGCTCTTGCGTTTTATTCACGCTGTCGGTTGAACCAGATTTGCGAGGTGTGCAAACATGATTGGTTTGAATTCCGTTTAGTTTTACGCGAATGTGACGAAGAACCCCTGCGGATCCGATTCGGTGTTGGGATATAAACGTTACTGTAAAAGCAGCTTAACTTTTACGCACTGAGAAGGAAAAAAATACTAAGACCTTCATTATTAATGCAGATGCATTAACTCTCCCACGGAGCGAGCCGACGTCATCTGTATGAAACGCGAAAAATGGCACCTTAAATCCTTTCTTCAAGTGAAGCCAGCTCCCAGCTATGAAACCTCGAGAAAGCCGAGACAACGGCACCTAGCTTTCTTGATCCCAAAGGCGTGGAGTACAGACAATTAATTTCGCCGTCGGTCCCTTCGGCTGGCGAGCGTCGACGAGGCTCTCATTGGCTGCTGCGCAGGTCAGTTTCAGCGACCGCCGAAACACGGCGCTGAGTGTCCGTGCTCCGAGCGCGAATGTAACACGAAGCGTCCAAGTTCAGAGCTGCGGGAAGAGCTGGGAGAGTTCTCGCACGGCCGTCGCAAATACGCCGCCAAAGAAACACGGGAGCGGAAGAACGGCACGCACGCTTTCGCATTCGCAACTGATAAGAAGTTCTTAGGTGTACCTTGAGCCTTTTGTTTAAGGGTTTATAAAGTAACTGTCATTAATCATGCTATAAACTAATCTTCCCATTACGCCAGTTGAAAATAGGTGGATCGAAATCCCAATATATGGCGAAGGTAGGGTTCCGTATTGATCAATACACTTTTTACAAGCAAGCCCGCGTGTTTACCCACAGCGGGAGTGGGCACTGCGCGTACGCAGAAATCAGATTCGCGTGAGGCGAAGCATCTGCGCAGGCACAGTGCAGACAGCAGCGCCACCGCAGTGGCGTGACGTCACAGAGTTGAGTTGGTCAATATGTACTACATAGTATACAAATTCCTCTGTGTCGTGGGAAAAACTTACAACTTCACTTCGATGGCGAAAAGTACGATCATATCATTAAATGGGGTAGCACGAAAACGGAAGTAATTGCAAAATAATTTCATCACAGTAGCAAAATAATAAACTTTTAATGTACATCCTGTTAGGTAGTGATTCTAATTCTACGTGATTATCAACTTGTGTAAGAAGATTAGTTCAAAATGTAATTATAATGCAGTGTATATTTGACCCGATTGACGCAGGTATATCAGTTTCCTTGTAGACGTACACAGTCACATCATGGAAGCAGATTAAAGAACCACCTCACCGGAAACAGACGCATATAAAAATAAATACCATGACGGTGCGTTACCGTATTTGCTGCGGACAGTATTGGACTCATGTTATTCCGACGGGTTAAATCTCGTGAGAACACACGTTCAGAATCGCAAAGCGGGTAGGTTTCCCAACGATTAGACAAACAAACTTTTACTCTGGACTGAGAGCGACAACGATTCGGAATACGATCGCTGCAGGCAGCGGGCTCAAAGAACAAGAGAGCGACGACTTCGCGCGGCATCACACCCACGCCACCGTTGGGGCGCTATCACGGCAAACCAGAGTGCGCTTATGAAGTGACATCTCACTTTTTGCTCACAAACGTAACTATGCTAAAATGACGATTTTGCTCTTTAGCGTTTTGCCTAAGGTAGCGTTCTTTTTACGATTGTATCCCCAACAGTGGCCCCATTTGTAGCATATGCCTGAGACATCCCTCAAGTGAATATTTCTTAGGAACCATCAAATACTGTTTTGGTTGTCATTTAAACAGTGCAACTCATAAAAGTTTTATGAAACACTGCTACAAATATTTAGGGTGGGGGAGGGGGGGGCGAAAACAGAATTCACAATACTTTAGCTTAACAGATTCGCTACCCCGAAAAAGTGTTGTAAAAGAAAGGGCGAGCATAATACAATTCAAGACAGAACATAAAAGGCGCACATTTTGATTCGTCCAATGAACTACATTTAGGAGGTTGTTCAGCAGAGAGAGGGGGAACAGATGGGAATAAAGACGTGAATGGAGTTTGATGCCTTCACTAACTTTGTTTATGTGAAGTTGACATATTTTTTTCTACTTTCCTTTGTTCTCGAACAAGCGTGGGTGTAACGCCGTATGTTTAGAGGAGGTGAAGACTCTCATTACACGAATCATGCAACTTTTGTTTCTAAAGGGAATAAAACAACCGCAGTTTACGTCTTTAAAATAGATTCAAGGAGGGTTTCTAACACATGCCTTTGAACCACGCAGAAGATGCATGCAGTGTCTCCGTTCCCGAAGACCAGCTTGGAAAAAGTGCCACCTGCTGCGATTTCATTTACGACCTGCTCTGCGGTACATACAAGTATCAGATATCAGACAACAGCTGCAAGAACCAATACTGACGAAAACACCATCAACTTTTTTTATGTGTATGTCCCTTAAAAGTCAACTTCGCTCAACTAGGAAACCAGTGATGATTGCTCATATCAACTTGAGCGACGCTGATGACATTGAGTCAAAAGGCATAAGTAAGAAAAATCGAACGGAGTATCCTTTAATGCCTCAAGAATGGAGTAGTTTAAATAAAGTTAACGCCACTATCTTCTTCTTTTTGGCAACAGTAACACAAATGTAAGTTTTTGTTTATGAAAGCTAAACGAATTATAACTTTTTTCAATCTCTTACTCGACATTTTCTTGATTATTTTGTCAAAATAGTGGAAAATAGTGGAAAATAGTCTAAAGTTGAGTTGTGCACAATGACTAATAAAAATGTTCAAATAATCATTCGTGTGTGCATTTGTACATTTTTGTGTTGACTGGTTTTGGTAAGAATAGGCTACCTACCTGATAAAAATACTTTACAGCCACAAGTGTGTTTAATTTCAAGCTAACGTAGTAACGTAACCTGAAAAACACAATCACTCTTCTGCGTTCTCAGTGTAAGACAACGTCAAGGCCGGAATTAATTTCTCCAATATACTCCGTCTTTTATCTCCCTCTGTTTATATCTCCCTCTTAAAGCCGAAGTTGCTACTGAAGTTGCTACTGAAGTTGCTGGCATTTCATTTACGATAAACGGCTGGTTAAAATAAAATTTTGAAATTGCAGCAAGACGCCAGATGTAGGTAGTTTCTAATCTATAATCATCATCCGGTGTACAGTTCGCGGTGGAAAATCTCATTTAGAAATAAACAAAAACTTTTTCTAGCAATTTTCGTACACAGCTCGCACCCGGCGCATATACCGCACCTAGCGCCTTATCCGCACAGAAAAAAAAAACACAAATATTGTACAAAGCATATCACGAGAGAGGGTTGTTTTAATAGCTTTCAAAAACGCTTTAATCAAGCAAAATTTATATATGACATGCTCTGTCATTCACATATTTTGACACGTCAAAATAAGCAATATGGAAAAATTAAATCCTTGTATAGAACGCACATAGAGTGAGTCTGCACCACGTAAAATATTAGCTTTTACAGCGTGTGTCGTCCGCGAACTAGAGTATGGAACAGAAAATTGTCGCCTTTCACTTTTGGTCTAAGCTATCATTATACTGTGCATGACGTGATGTTCAAGTAGTGATGTGATCTCATGACAGCTGAAGCAAATTTGCAAATATAATCAAATTACCGTTAAGATACCTTTTGATTCGGGTTTGTGTTATAGAGATACGGTCCATTCGTCACATGCACACTCGTCACAGGACGATTGGTCACAGGGCGATTCGTCACACAGGAACATTCGTCGTAGGATGACTCGTCACGTGGCCAACCGGTCCTACAATAGTTCGTCCACCCAAAATTGTGTTGTTCAATTTGGTTTGGGCGGACAAAGAGGCTCACCTCATATCTCAGTATGTGTTTGGCTTCTGAAAGGCGAAGAATTCGTAACAAATGTTTTAGCTTCTGGTTCGGTCCCGAACACTGAATGTTGGTTCGGCCTAACAAAGTGGGTCACCTCTTACCCTAGCATGTCTTTCGCTTCTCAAGGTCAAAGAATTTTAACAAACGTTTTAGCTTCTGGGTCCGTCCCGAACGGTGAATGCGGAGGCTATATAAGAGCAACTATTTTTGAACTCAAACTACATTCAAAATAATGGAGGTTATCGCAACAGAGTAGGGTAGAGCCATGATGCTGCACGAGGGGTACTCGTACACAGTCAGCAGATAGAATTCTGATAATTATTGATTTTGTCGAATAGGTGTATGCAAGGCAAAAGTAAAAACTGATGTTGCTGCGAGTCGGATTATTGCTCGTTCAAGCCAGCAACTGAGATCAACCTGCTGAAGACTCGTGATACAATGAAAGTAAAAGCGGGGGTGTATTGTAAGATTAGTTTTCCTATCCATTGGTATATGTGAGAGTGGGAAGTCGTGAAACTCCTCATCAGGGAATGTGGGCAGTTGTTGAAATTTCCGATTTACTAACGTCCCCTGCCCGATCGATGTGACCAGTGGCCCGCATGACGAGTCATCCTGTGACAAATGTTCCTATGTGACGCATCGTCCTGTGACCAATCGTTCTGTGACGAGTGCTCATGTGACGAATCGTCCTCATCCCGTGTTATGTAGGTCAAACGAAGCGTTGTCCTAATGATAGACTAAACGAACATAAGCGATGTGTTAAAAACAAATATCCATATTCCGAGGTATCCAAGCATATTCAGGAATCTAAGAATAGCATGCCACTAATGGAACTCGACGACCACAAATCTAACGGGGAGAAACGACCACAAGCGACTCCTGAAAGAGTCAATCGCGATAACGAAGCATAAGTATTCAGTTGACAAGCCCTCTTTGTCTTTAGAAGCGGAATGGAAGTGCTTTCTAAATCTCTAGTAGTAATGTTAGACCTAAAAATATTTTTTTTTTTTTTTTAGTTTTATAGCTAACTTCCTCAGTGAAGGGTCCAGTGCAGTCTGGGGTTTTCCTGCGTGTTCTTTTTTTTTCATGTATCATTTTTGGTGTCGTCAGCTGGTTTGACCCAATCGTTAGAGGTGCGGTGTCGTATCTTATGTTGAGAGAGGTGATGTAAAGAAGGTTTCCCTTTTTTCTTTTTCTTTTCAACCCTATATAAAGGGTTCTGTCCTCAACAATGGTTTAGTTGTGTTTGAGACGTTCTCCTTCTTTTCCCTGACGTCGTCTGTCAATGCCTTAGTCTCGGTTTTTTTTTTTTTTTTTTACTAAAATGTTAAGAACTACGGCCTTTTCTTAAAGTCATGCGGTTGGCAATCGCAGGATACTTGTGTTCACGGCTGCAGTGTGGAATACGAAACGGCGTGTTTCTGACGAAATGGCCGACTAATATAGGTGGGTCTTAGCGTTGAGCGTGCAAATAAATTAAGATTTCTCGCATGCAGAGCAATGTAGATGATATAGGCAAACATGCTAAAAATTCTAGTGGTCCAGCATTTCAGTGCTGATTTAAATCACAATTAAAATGATTTACATTATTCTAATCGTTGGCATTTCTTCCAGTCAATAGCGGCGTGCCTCAGGACTTTCTATTACTGCCGATTTTGTTTCTTATTGATGTCAATGAGAGAGCTAGTGTATTTCATACCTCTGTTGAAGTTCGTCTTATCGCATTCAATTGCCTGGTGTACATAAACGTTAATTTACGAATAAAACCAAACGTTATAAAACGAAAATATATTTAGTAAGCATGATTGCTGTAAAAGCAAGTTTATATAATTAAGAAAATTAAGTCTTCTTTCGTTGTAGACACGAGGAAAATGTCGCTTTCTCGAAGTGCGTTTGTATTATCCAGATACCACAAAAGGTGATTGATAATCTTGTGCTTCATTAAATTGGCGATGCAACTGACGTGGCCGGTGTGACTGACTATAAGGTTATAATCGGCAATTATTGAAAACGAGAACCAGCCGTTACTTTTAGAGCGCAGCTCTTAGGCGCCCGTTCCCGGCTTGAGCGGCGTCGCCGTCGCCGTCGCCGTCGGCGTCGGCGTCACCGCGCGGTGCATTATGGGTAAATTTCCCCGCTAAATCTAGCCGAAAAATTTCCCCGCTAAATCTAGCGGGAAAATTTCCCAGCGGGAAAATGTCCTTGCTAAATAGTGGAATTTTCCCCGCTAAATCTAGCGGAAAAAATTTCCCCGCTAAATCTAGCGGGAAAATTTCCCCGCTAAATCTAGCGGAAAATTTTCCCCGCTTCTAGCGGAAAATTTTCCCGCCAAATCTAGCGAAAAATTTTCCCCGCTAAATCTAGCGGAAAAAATTTCCCCGCTAAATCTAGCGGGAAAATTTCCCTGCTAAATCTAGCGGAATTTTCCCCGCTAAATCTAGCGGGAAAATTTCCTTGCTAAATCTAGCGGAATTTTTTCCGCTAAATCTAGCGGGAAAATTTCCGCGCTAAATCTAGCGGAAAATTTTCCCCGCTAAATTTAGCGGAAAAAATTTCCCCGCTAAATCTAGCGGAAAAATTTCCCCGCTAAATCTAGCGGAAAATTTTTCCAGCTAAATAGCGGAAAAAATTTCCCCGCTAAATCTAGCGGAAAAATTTCCCCGCTAAACCTAGCAGAAAAATTTCCCCGCTAAATCTAGCGGAAAAACTTCCCCGCTAGATCTAGCGGAAAATTTTCCCCGCTAAATCTAGCGGGGAAATATTGGTCACGTGACCTGGGGGTCACGTGACCCCCTTCCGAGGTCACGTGACTTCGGGGGGGCACGTCTCCCCCTCCACGTGGACCCCCTCCCCTGAGGTCACGTGACCCCAACAAGGTCACGTGCCCTCGGGGGGGGGGGGTCATGTGTGACCCTTTCCCCCATGTCACGTGACCACCGAGAAACCGTGGCCCTCAGTACACTTCCCTCCTCCTCAAGAGCTGCGCTCCAATTCGGCGTTACAGGGAGTGGTAAACGGCTTTCACTTTTTTAAAGGCTTTCAGTAAGCTGACCGGCTCCCCATGAAAGGCTGTACTTTTGCAGGATTTAGTCTATCCGTGTAGTCCCAGACAAGACAATACCATGTAGTTGGCTCTGCCCGGTCCTGGACAGGCGTGAGTTGTGCTCTCCTGATGGATGTCGAAGAGCTCTCAATTCAAATATCATAACTAAGCTTCGAAAGTAAACAGGCGGGGTCGCCTTTAGAGAAGACGATTTCTTACTTCTGGCTGACGTGTACCAGTTTTTTTTTATTTTTGCTGAAAGCATCGGTTGCTACGGGCTACGCGTTGTCCTTAGAGACGGCCAGAGCGCAGAAATAACTCTTTTAGCACTTAACTTTTTCAGCCCTCTATCCGCCTTCATGAGTCTCGTTGAGGGCTTATGGGCGTCTATTAATGCACATGTGCCCCTCCATCTCCACCTAGTAAGGCAGTGAAGGTGTCTTCGCTCCACCTTCAGTGCACTTCGAGATTCCTTCCATTACAGCGGCTCA